CAAAAGTATAAATACAAAGCTTAGAACAGATTGAGAGGAGATAGAAGTTTACCACGAATTCGAGGAAGTATATTTCTTTTCTTGCAGTAGGCACACAACTCCAACTTTAATATGGCCCATCAAACTTGTTTGTAATAATCTTTGTAATCTTTCAGGTAAGCTTTGACTTGTACTTACCAAATCTACAAACACATAATCAAAAAACAATGCAGGTAACTAGAAACATAAATAAAAGAACAATGGAGGTCATCTCTATAACCACTAGTAGCTAAATGGAGAATCAGACAATAAAAGAGTATTTTCAAAAATTGAAAATATCACAAATATGGTCAAAGGTTTAATAATACTATAAAGGTTCTCGAGACATAGATTTCAATCCTACACAGATTCAAACATAAAACAAATCTTATTTACAGATGACAAAGGTTCAATCAAACCACATTTAAGATTCAATCAAACCACATTTTAACTCAAGACGGAGATTCCTACACAATCTATCTTCCTAGTTCCTACAAAGAGATTCCTACACAATCTACACAATCTATCTTCCTAGTTCCAACATCTACACAATCTAGAAGATGGTAAGAGGACATGCTTACTAAGTGGTTCTAGGGTCTAATATGCGAGAGATGACAGTGGTATATTGCTCACAGCCTGGTTGGACAAGCAGTTCCTATAAAGCAGCGAGCACATCTCTGGGAGATTGGAATCCCTTAGCACATCTTCCTTAGAATCAGCTTCCTCATCTTCTTTCTTGTGTGAGTTTTGCGCTTGAAAATGTGATGCGATACAGAAGTAGAGGTGGAGGAGATGGTTGTGGTTGATTTGAGGCTAGTGGTTGATACGACGCTGGAGTTTGATTCGATCCAGAGGCTCAACGATGAGTCGATCCAGAGCCTTGAGGTTGAGCAGATGGAGAACTGATTAGATCTTCGCTCGCAGGAGAGCTCCTCGCCAATAGGAAAATATTCGTCGAAGATGGGTTGCCTCTGTAAATAGGACCCGTTGGAGGCTGGCCGCTTGAGACAAGATTTCGCTAAGACTTTGGATCTGGGCTTGAGGGTTCGACGGAGGAAGGTATACTTGGTTGGAAGACCTGTGGGTCGATTTGAGGCTTTCGTAGCCCTTCCTCCTCCTTCTCCTCTATTCTTTCTTCCACAAGGAGCCATCGATATGAAGATTGAGATCGATTAGGGTTCGATTCGATGAAGATTGAGAGAAATGAGAGAGAGAGAGAGAGAGAGAGAGAGAGAGAGAGAGAGAGGAGAGAGAGAGAGAGAGAGAGAGAGAGAGAGAGAGAGAGAGAGAGAGAGAGAGAGAGAGAGAGAGAGAGAGAGAGAGAGAGAGAGAGAGAAGAGAGAGAGAGAGAGAGAGAGAGAGAGAGAGAGAGAGAGAGAGAGAGAGAGAGAGAGAGAGAGAGAGAGAGAGAGAGAGAGAGAGAGAGAGAGAGAGAGAGAGAGAGAGAGATTAGGGATTAGGATTGTCGGGAGAGAGAGATTAGGGTTTGTCGCGAGAAAGAGATTAGGTTTTATAGTTAGGGCTATTGGTTTAGATAAATGAGTTGACTTTACAAAAGCCCAATTAAATGGCCCAAATGAAATAAAATAGTCGCTGAAGAGTAGATAATTAGTCGCATCATTTGGCGTCTTCATGTTTAGTCACTATATGTAGTTACCAATTCACGACTATACTTCGCCTATTTATATCAGGCTCAAACTTCCGACGGATTAGCGACTATATTGTTTTAGTCACCATTATAGTCGCTAAAAAATCGCAATCCAGTCGCAATATTTAGCGACTGCTTTATGAGTCGCAACATGCAGTCGCTAATTCGTTGTTTTCTCATAGTAAATGAATAGCATGTGTTTAATCTGGTTTTCGTTTTGGTTTATGTTTCAGCTATTTGGGTTACCGAATTTTTGGTTTATGAATATAAGTAATCAAGCTGAAAACATAATATATAATGGATGGTTGAATTCTTTATGTATAATTTAAAATTATTTTTATATGAATGTGATTCATTTTTGGACGGAATTTGTCTCTCGACCAATGTTCGTCTAGAATTTTATGTTGTATTAATGTTATCGTTTAAAAAATTACTTTTCTTAAAATATTTTATGGTTAATATGGTAGGTCGGGATAATTGAATGATCCGTTTAGAAATATTGTGTTTTTAACATACGATAGAAAACATATCTATCAAAATTTGTATTATTTTAAAGAAAATGCGTATTTCATTTCGTTAAATATCGTATATGCAAATAATGAATATCTTATTTTGTCAAATTATTAAATTTATATATATATATATATATAATATGTGTATATATGGTATAGATTGAAATGTTTTTAGTTTATTTTAATTATTTCATATGTGAATTAATCATAATCAATTAATGAAATTTTAAAACCATATTTTACATTTTCAATATCTTAATAACGCCGAGTTTTCTAACTTTTATTTCTCATATCATTTCTTACAGTCGTTTCATACTTAATCCCTTCAAAACTCTTAATATTGTTATGTTTTATGTTTATGATTTACTTTATGTATACATTTTGTCTATGTTTTATTTAAAGTTTTTACATTTCAAAATTATCATCTTATCTAAATGAGCAAGATAAACGTATACCAAATAGAATATTGTTCTTGTTTTGTACAGAGAAGAAAATGGCATATCAATTAGATCAACACCATTAGTTCCATAATTCTCTCTGTGCAATATCCTCATTGGATCAAATAAGTGAGATTTATCACATCAAGTTTAGAAGTTTGTTGTGTATAACACTTATAGCTTTGTGTCTCGGCGAAGTGAGTTTAGTTTTTAAATGTCTATCAAAAATTTACAACAATAAATATATATATATATATGTCTGTCTCTTTTTCTTTCATTTCTTGATTTGAATGGTTTTATCATCGCAGCCCATAGCAGATTTTCAGATTTCAGGTGTTTATGAAATTCTTGATTCAGTGTTGTTTAACCTATTTGAGAGCGTAGATGATATTATCCAGGATGTGGCTCCTCAATGTTTGGGAAAAATGGTTTTTGAACTTCAGGTATATAGCTGCAAAACAATCTCTATCTTCATTTTACTCTTTAGCAATGAAATAATATTTGTACTGACTTTTATAGGTACGGACGACAAGTCCAGTCTCTTTGACTCGTGTGAATGCTGTTACTATTCTGAAATATTCAGTGGTAAAACAGTCCGAGAAGATTGATCGTATCATTGTCCCGGAGATATCTGCGTTCCTTATGTTAATGGATGACGATAAAAATTTGTTGCGAGAAATCGTTAGGAACTTGAGAATTTTCTTTTTAAAAAACCATTTCATATCATATAAAATTAATATGTAGTGTTCAATTTATACATGAAAGTTTATTATGTGCCAATACATACCCAATCTATTAAAATTTTCAAATTTCATACCCAAACTTATCAAATTGTGCGAAATCACACATCTCTTGTCTCTATTGCTGACGTGGATGCCACGTCGTTGATGACGTTGATGACGTGGTTGTCACATCCTTCATGACGTCGTTGCCACGTCATCATCATTTTAAACAAAAATAAATATTAATTTTTTTTTCTCTTCTCACTTTTTTCCATCACTATCATCCAACAGAACTGTGAAAAAAATTATATATTTGATGTAAGAATTTAAAATCTTTTTTTCGAGACTGATAACTAATATTTCAACCAAAACTAATATTTAAACCGAGTTTATAAACTCCAAATTTGCAATTCTTCTTAAATATTCAAATCACTTTTAGTAGAAAACATAAACCCTTACAATAATCTTCTATATTAATCGAAAGACATTTTTAAGTTGATAACAAAAAAAGAGAACTTAATTACATATATTACTATTATAATAAATTGTATTTTAAGAACAAAATACAATTTCTCATTACTGGTAATATTGTCTTTGTATCTTAACTTATATATATATATATATATATATTCAAACAACCCTAATTGTCAATGATAATTAATTTATATAAAAAAATATTTTGTTCCTAAAAGACAATTATCAAATGACAATAAATGTAAAAAATGTCTTCAAAGATTAATATATAAGATTATTGTAGGGTTTATATTTTTCATTGAAAGCGATTTGAAGATTTTTAGAAAAAGAATTGCGAATTTTGAGTTTAGAAACTCGGTTTAAATATTAGTTTTGGTTAAAATATTAGTTATAAGTCTTGAAAAGAAGATTTTAAATTCTTACATTAAATATATAATTTTTTCACAATTCCGTTGGATGATAGTGATGGACAAAAAACATGAGAAGAGAAAAAAATTAATTTTTATTTTTGTTTAAAATGGTGATAACGTGGCAATGACGTCATGAAAGACGTGGCAACCACATCATCATCGTCATCAATGACGTGGCATCCATGTCAGTAGTAAAGACAAAAGTTGTGTGATTTCGCATAATTTGATATGTTTGGGTATAAAATTTGAAAATTTAAAAAATTGGGTATGTATTGGCACATAGTAAACTATCATGTATGAATCGAACACTACTGTATAGGTTGGGTATGAAATAGCCGACTTTCCTAGTATATGTTGACATATGTAACTGAAAAATATTAAGTAACGGAGCTACAATTTTTGTAAAAAATGATAAATGTGTTTAAAAAGTGAGTCCCTAATTTAAAAAAAAAAAACAAATTTGGAATATGAAACAAAAAATAAAAGAGTACATGTGTCTTAAAATAAATTACCAAATATAGCGTTATCTTAGACCAGATTGATAATCAACAAGAAAACAAATATTTTCTCCTTCATTCACTCAAAGAGGTGTTTTTCTTAATAAGTATTAAAATTATATCATCAGATTACATAAACTCATGCACCAAACACCAAATGCTTTTAACTCAAATACACTAAAATGATGAAACAACATTCACATACAACACAATGTTCACAAACAATATAGATACAACAACATCTTTGTGTTCCCAACTCACAAAGCCTCTTATTGTCTTTGAAGATATAAGACCCTTTTATTCGCAGTAAAAGAGAGTGATCTTTTACAAATCTTGATTTAAAACAAGAAGACAAACGCAAACAACTTCTTCATCCCTCAGCGGGAGGATCATCGAATACAAACTTCTCAAACTCTTCCCTACTTCTCCCATCCGGATTCTTCTTCCACTCCATGAACTTCGTCGACGCCTCTATGAATTTCTCCATATGAAGCCTCTTCCATTCCTACCAAAATCCCATTAAAGCAACACAAACTAAAAAGACACAACTTTTTTTCACAAGATTCAAGAAGTAAAGTTTCAAACCTCAAAATCCCATTCTCCATACAAATTAGGATCATCCTTGTTTGCCCATATATAGGTTTCAACTTGCTTCTTCTCAGAAGTATCCTGATTAATTAAAAGCTTCAATCTTTAATCAAACCATCAAAGATGTGATTAGATAATGATAAAGAACAAACTTACAGTCAAAACAACTTCAACAGTCTTCCTCACATATTCACTTCCTTCAATCATATCTAAATTCTCTAGCTGAGAATCTGTTAATCCAGTTAGTATCTACAACAAAAACACATCAACCCACTTCTTCAGATTCTCATATCCACAATTAGAAACCAAATTAAGAAACAAAGTTTAGAGCTTTAGAAATTGAAATCGAATTTTTGATTCCCAAATCGAATTCAAGAGATGAAATCAAAACCTTGCCGTTGATAAGTCCATTCTCAGAAGGAGAGATACAAGCATGTAAACGACCTTTGAGTCTATATACGTGACTGTAACAAAACAAACAGATATTGAATTGAATCAATTTCGACGAATCTAAAGCATAATTGAAGATAAAGATCGGAGAAGTGAAGAGAGAGAGAGAGACGTACTAGCCGTGGAGTTGAGCGGAAACCATGACCGGAGAACATTCGAGGATCAGATTAACGACGGCTGGTTCTTGGAAACTGCCGTAGACGAAGACATCGTGCGACGGAGATTGAACGGAGCTAGTCATCGTTTTTGATTTCACTGTGAAATTGAGTTGTGATGTATTTATTCTTGATGTATAGCCAACGTTGTTGACTTTTTCTTACTTACTTTAGAATCATTAGCTTTTTTTTTTCCTTTTTTTTATTTTTTATTTTTTTAATTTTTATTTTTAAATGTGTAATTCATTGATAAAAGTGGGAAAATATCTATAAAGAATATTTCTTTCTGTCAACATGCATTATTGATTCTTTCTTTTTCTTCAATTAATTATCAAATGTATTATAGTGAGGACTAAAGATTATTTTAAAGGGTGAGAAGTGAAGAGTGAAGACTAAGCACCTATAATCATAATCCATTCAATGTATATGAAGCAATTTTCAAGAAAACGCTAGTCACTGAGGAAGTGGTGACCTATTGCTTATCGTTTAAAATGCTTAATTGGAATTTAGACGATTTTAAGCATTTAAGGCGTTTATAATGTAAAGAATTATAAACATGATATTGTAAAAAGAATTATTAAATCGTAAATAAAATTTAGACAAAATACTATCGAATTTAAATCAAAAACTATATGAAGATAAAACTTAGTTAAAAATTGAAAAATATACTAAAACAAAACATATGCTCATTTAAGCGGTCGAGACGGTTCTCTTGGTGTTAAATGATTTTTGTATACTTTAAAATATTCCAAATCTCTTAAAATAAATATTATAGTGAATTATTATATGATTTATATAAAATTTGCCAATTTGGATTTTCAAAATTTCACTTTTGTAACACCACTTTATGTTTTCTTATATAAAATATATTATATTTATTTTGGTCGGGTTTATGATAAATCGTTATTACAACCACTCCCAACCAATTATTGCCCGCAAACGCAAACGTTTCCAACTGAGTTTGTGATTCTCAATTGAAGATTTGAGAAATCAGAAAAAGTACCAACACAAACAAAATCACATAGAAGAGACTCGGTTTCAAGTTTCAACAACACACAAACACATTATTCAAAAACCACTATTTTACTTACTCTCTTCTGCCAAGATTATAACCAAGCTCATCAAGAATCAATCCCCAGACGATAATAATGATCCTACAGCCTCCTCCATGCTCTTCCCATTTGGATTCTTGTTCCATTCCAACATTTTCTTAAACGTCTCCACAAATTTCTCCGCGTGAACCACTCTCCACTCCTACACACATACGAAATCGCAACATTAACTACCCGCAAAAGATCAGTAACAAAGTCGATAGAACCATCATTCGAATCCTCCAACAACGATTTCAATATGGTTAGCAACCCAACATCCCACAATTTCCGGAGATTAGTCTAGGTCCTGGATCCAAACATTAAACTACCTACAAAGAAATTGGTAAAAAACAAAGTCGATAGAACCATCGTTCGAATCCTCCAACAACAACTTCAATATAGTTAGCCACTATAAATGCTTTCAACAACAAAACAACCCAACATTCGTCGATTTCCGGAGATTAGTCTAGGTCCCGGATCATAAAACAATTACATCATCCATCAACAAAAACACCAACCTCGAAATCCCATTCTCCATACATTCTAGGATCATCTTTATTAACCCAAACATAAGTTTCAACTTTCATCTTCTCAGAATTATCCTGCAAATCATAATCACAATCCAGACAAATCTCTCAAAATTCCCAAAACTGAATCACATTGTAATAAAAAAAAAAACAAAGATCTAATTCAGACACACTTACCATTCTTACAACTTCAACTGTTACTCTCTCATAACCATTACCTTCAATCACATCAAAATTGTTTAACTCAGCATCAGACACTCCAGTTATTACCTTCACCAAAAAAAAAACACCAATTCGTTTTTTTTTATAAACCAATTTTGACAAATCAAAATCAGAAACAAAAAGTCAAACCTTTCCGTTGACTTTTCCTGATTCAGAAGGAACAATACATGGATATGGAAGTCCTTTGAGTTTATATCTGTGACTGTACAAAACCCATGAATATTTTGTTAATCTCCGATTGAAAAACGATCATAGAGAGTGAGAGAGAGCGTACTAGCCATGGAGAACGGCGGGGACTGTGTTGGCGGTGCGATCAAGGATTACGGCGGCTACGGCGGGTTCTAGAATGCTGCCGTAGACGAAGATGTTGTGAGATGGAGGATTAGAGCTAGTCATCTTCTTCTGATTTGATAAATTGGAAAATAATGAAATGATTTGAGTTTTGAGATATCTGAATTTTTTGATGGCCACCTGAGAAATTAGATTAATTAACTTTAATCAATGAGTCACTACTCTCCACCAACTCTCCCATAATTAGTAGCAGAAGAAAAAAAAACTTTGATATATACTTTTTGTGTTTCTAATTTTATACTTCACTTATAAAATTAAATTAAATAATGTTAAATTCAATCAATAATAATTCGAATTTGATATACTATATATAATTATATAATAAAAATTAAATTCAAATTTAAGTTGATGTTCAAATATGTAATTATGTATTTTTGTTTTAAATCTGATCTTTAATATGCCAAAAACCAATGAATTAAATTATTATTTTAGTAATATTCTAATAAAAACTAATGAATGAAACTATCAATGTGGGGTGGGGTTAGTGGCAGAACTCAGATAAGTCGAAAACATAGATAGCTAAGAGAACACAAGTGAAGATGCCATCGGAGCTGACGCAAGTAATCAACATCAAAAGCTCTGGTGGTAACACAACTCAAGGATGAAGTGTAATACTCGGTTTCAAGAATATGGTGATGCATGCGGAGAGGTTTAAAAGAATTGATTTGGTTACCTATACAGTGCCGGCTCAAATGGGTGGGCGGGCGGTGCGACGGCCAGGGGTCCAATCCCGTAGTCCAATAATTAAGGGGCCCATTTTTTAAAATATTTTTTTAAAAATATTAAAAATTTAGATTATAACATAAAAATAAAATTTAGAAAGGTCTATAAAATTTTTTATTTATTGTTTTTAGTATTAGTAATTAATATTTTTAACAAAAATAGCATATAAATTTTTTTTACAGCAAAAAAAACATTAAAAAATTTTTCTAAGAGTCCAAAATTTTTTTTTGCCCTAGGGCCCATACAAATGTTGAGCCGGCACTGTACCTATATCACCAAAATGCACTTATCTTTTTGGTCAACTGTCCTGAGAGAATTCTACAGTTAAGCATGCTTGAGCTGGAGCAATTTGAGGATGGGTGACTTCCGGGATGTGATTCTCGGACGTCCTCTCTCGGGCCCATGGACCCACCCCAGTCCGACGGCCGATCCGCTACTTCCGGGAGGCTTTAAAGACTTGTTTACCGACCCTACAAATAACCACATGATTTTTTCCTGTGTTTTGTCCTCACTCACACAGTTCCGACAATCACTTCCTGGAAGGTCACCTATCCTGATACTACTCCAGCCCTAGCACGCTTAACTGTGGAGTTCTCTCAGGACAGTTGACCGAAAAGATAAGTGCACTTTGGTGACATAGGTGGCCAAATCAATTCTTTTAAACCTCTCCGCATGCACCACCATATTCCTGAAACCGGGGTGTTACACAAAGGTGCCCTCTTGCTCGACGAGAAGGTAACATACTAACATATATATCCTTCTAAATTGCATTTTAGTAGTTATTTTGGTAAATAATATTGCGTACTTCATATCTGCATTTGTCGTGCTTTTTTTTGTTAATTTGTAATTGTTTAGTGTTAGTATTGTTCCATAATCTTAATCCATTTTTCCACTATCACATGTCTGTGATTGATTTTGCAAAAACGTGGTTTCTTAGTTGATACAAGATTGGAATCACTCCAACTTTAGATCACTTGATGATCAAGAGATTCCAAGCTTTTTAGGCGGAAGGGTGGAATTCACGAGCTGGCTCTGAAGACTCTCTCGTGAATCAAGGGGTGGTACGATGGATAGATGTGGTGATTGACTCGCTTAATCAGTGGAATAATCGACTCACTCGATCAATGAACGAATAAAGGATGTTGAATCACTCAACAAACTCAATCTGAAGGTTTCTGAAGTACTAAGTGACTCACTCACAAAGAACTAAAGAACAAATGACAAAGACTTAAACTTTGACAAGAAGAAACGTTTCTATTACTTTAAATGATCAAGGATGCTTTACAATGATATAAGATATCAGCTTATATAGAGCTGAGTACAACGTTCTAAAACTACAAAGAAAGAAACAAATCACAAACATAAATGAAAATATATGGTCATTGGACATTAATTGTAGAATCTTTCCAAATAAGGCAAGTAAGGTGTGCCTTGTATCTTGTCAACTTGGGGAGGAAGTTGTGACGTCTTGGAAGCTTATGGAAGGTCTCAAGAGTCTCACACAAGCGCACAATCTCAGAAGGAAAGAGTTGTTGCAAGTTGATCTCCTTCGGCTCCATATATGGAAAGTAGTAACTCTGCGGGTTCTTGTGTGGTAAGGTGTACCAAAATTCGTGTGGTACATGTTTTATGTGGTCTAGATGTTCTCATGGTTTCCATATGTAGCTTTGAGGTGCGTCCAAGTGTAGAATAACGAAGATTTCCTTGTTTGGCTTCATTTGGCGCAGTACTTCAGAGGGTAGTTCAGCAAGTAGTTCAGCGAGTAGTTGAGCCGGTCTGTCAGCAAGTAAATCAGCTATATGTACTTGTAACATCTTCGAATCAATTGTTTGGTGAATGATTCCTTGATGACTTGATGTTGCCTCGTTAAAAACCTTTCTAGGTAAAACCATTGGGACAAACCATAGATAAGGGAAAAAGAGTGCAACAGTCAAATTCCCACAATATGGTGATTCGGCTCGTCGTTCTTTGATTACTCTTGAACCATCCTTAGTCTTCTTAGGGTTAATTTTCTGGTGAATAATTAACCCTAGGCCTTGTCCTTGATTAGGACTCCATTTGGGTAAGAATCCTCCAAAATACTCCATATCAACCGGTTTGATACATGTACCGACTGGTTTGGTATGTTCCCGGTTTGGTTTGATTTGGATGTCTGCATCATTAGTTGTTTGGTTTTCCTAGCTGGTTTGAATGCTTAACCCATAATCTCTACTTATGAGTGATGATCTTGAAACGATAGTCAAATGCATGATCTTATATTTTCTAAGGTTGTGTTTAAAAATTTTCCTTTTAGTTTCCTTTTAGTCTATATATATATAATAGGAGAATTAAGCATTTACCCATTTTCTTTGCAGTGCTCAGTAATTCACTGTTTCATCCCAGCTGCTCGTGCCGGCCAACTCCAAAATGTTTTCACAAGAATGGCTAATCTTTTGTGTTAGGGGGTTTGAAGTGGGAAGGTGCACAAACCTCTACAAGAATCGTTGGTGTGAATAGAGGTAAGTTCTGTATGAGTAAGAAATGAGAAAAATGTTTAATATTTATAGTGAAGTAGAAGGTTAGGGTTGGCTTAAAAATTTTTGAAAATCTTGGAGACGAAGATCTTAAAAATTTTCTGTATGAGTAAAATCTTGGAAAAAATATTAAAAATTTTTGAAAATCTTAAAAAATGTCTAAAATAATACACAATACACAATTTTAGGGAAAATACAGATATTGTATAGCAGTTTATGGTTAGGATTAGATTAGATCATAAATTTTAGAAGATTTGTTTAGTAATTAGTCGAGATTTGGAGAATATTTTTCAAATCTCTAAAAATAAAGATACCATAAATAAAGAGTTTAGATATAGTAATTAGTTGAGAAATATATATATTTTCGATTTTATTAATTAATTTTGTTTTTGAATTTTGCCAAAATTTAAGGAAAGATCCGATTGAAGATTTCCGCGTCAAAATAAAAAAAAAACCCGACCCGATTAGAGGAGCAAAAATGTACTTCAAAAATGTTAAGTAGATATCTAATATTTTACATTTTCACTTACATGTCTATCATGGTGTAGCTATCATTATGGGATGAAGCATTTGCAACCTTTCGAGTTTATCTCACTTCTGGAGACGCTATAAACTCTGTCATGTTGGTAACTACAATAAACCCAAAGCTGTTTGGAGGTAAAAATGAAGTCCTACACTACGTTAGTACAACCTTATAAACAAAACTGATTTTTTTTTTATATATAAATAATGCTTGGTTCGGTAATTTGTATTTGAACTCCACTCCAGCAACCTGATTTTATTTCGACCAATCCATTGAGGCAATCAACCAATTTACAAAAAGGTCATGCTTCTTACAACAAATAGTTTCCAACTACCATTAAAGCCACTCAAAATTGTTATAAAACAACAAATATTTTCTTATGCAGGATGGGAATAGAAGCTAGCAAGCCATTTGTAAAAGCAGACACATTGGAAGGAATAGAAAAAAGGAAATGCTTTGCATTGCCTAACTTTACAAGTTCATATCAAACCCCAATGAACAAGTTATTCTTATTTTGATTTACACATATTTTAATATGTAAAGTGACTCTGACATTCATTTTTAAATTTTTGAACAGACACAAGAAGCTGATTTCTTGTGCACCGCCAAAATTCTCGATGTCAGATGAAAAAGTGGTTGGTCTTATGTTTCATGTGCTGCGTGCAGCCGCAAATTAGACAAATATGGAACAACCTTACGCTTCCCAAAATGCATTTCTGCGAATGTCACCGGTGTTGTGAGGTATTAAATCTTATAAAACTTCATTGGTTTCAAATGCATTTTTCCAAATTAATTGCCGTAAGTCATCATTATATATCTGCAGTTTTTCGATAAGCTTTTGAGTGTCTCTTTAAGCCAATAATATTATATAGTGCTTTATACATTTTGGTGCATTACTTTATTGATCTGCAATTGTATAGTGTTAGTATTGTACAATAATCTTAATCAATTTTATCACCATTTTGCCCATGTATAAACTTGACTATCCTAAAATTTTGATTTTGTTGTCTGATTTACATAGATGACTGAAATGCTTGATCCATAATTTGTAATTATTCATGGAATACCTATAATTGATTATAAAATATTAGGTATCGGGTAGAGCTTGCTGTTCATGATGGTCAAGATGGTGCAACATTTGTGGTCTTTGACTCTGAGATGACAAAGCTCACCAATAAAACATCGACTACTCTCATCTTAGAAGTTGTAAGTATTGCTGAAATTAAAAAGAAGCACTTATGAATTACATTTTCAATAACCTTTTCAAAATCAACCACTATATGGTTGTGGCGAGCAAGGAAATAGGTGTGCTTTGTTCAATTGCAAAAAAATCAAATATATACTATGCGTCAATTTAAAAATATTAGAGATTCCGATGAGACCCAAATACAAAGTGGTAAAAAGTAAAAACGACCCTAACAAATAGTACACGGCCCAAGCGTATTACACAAAACAAATAAATGGTTTCTTCTAATCAAATTTAAAATATGACAAGAAGAATACAAATTCAGGAAAAATAATAAAAGAGTAACAAATAATTTACCTTTAATTTATATCTGCTCACACTTTCGTCTAAGTTTAAACTTAAAAGTCCAAACTAAACCAAAAACATTCATTGAAATAAAAGTAACATATGATAAAAACAACAGCACACAAAGTAATAACAAAAAATTATATTTAGAATATGGGGAAACAAAATTCAAAATATTCCCTAACCAATACGACAAATGTACAATATATTTAATAGATAAGAATATATAATTTCTGTCTATTAAAAAAGAAAAGAGATATATCTCATTATTAGTGGTGAACAGATCTCTTATTCAGTTTATCCCTCTTATAAAAATAAAATAAAAAGATTCCTTAAACCGAATCTTACCGAATTTTTTTTAATTTGAGATATGAGGTGAATCCAAAAAATAAAAATAAAATACATATATTTCAAAGCTGTTGAATTAATATCAGTTAATTTAGAGAAAAGGAAATAAACAAAATAAAATCCTAAAAGGATTTGGAATCGTAAAGCATTATACAAACAATCGTAGGGCACCTAGTCTCATCATAATTCATTAACACAATAACTAAAAAAGAAAATAAGAAGATTATATTTTACTATAGTGAAAGTTAAAGGAAAAACATAATTTTGTTTGTAACTAAGAATACATAACTTCCTGATTTTAAAAACAAATAGATATATCCCATTATTTGTGGTGAATAGATCTCTTATTAAGCTAAAACCGTGTTCTTTTTTTTTTTTGGTAAAACCGTGTTCTTTAATTAAAGAAAAAGATCTCTTATTTTGCTAAAACCGTTTTTTTCTTTTTAAATAATATATCTCATTATTTGTGGTGAAACAGATCTCTTAAACTGTTTTTTTAAAGCGGTGAATAAATATCAGTTAATTTAGAGAAAAAAAAATAAACAAAATAAAATCCTTAAACAAAATAAAAAGATTCCTTAAACAGTTTTTTTTTTTTAATTTGAGATATGGGGTGAATCCAAAAAGTAAAAATAAAATCCATATATTTCAAAGCTGTTGAATTAATATCAGTTAATTTAGAGCAAAGGAAATAAATAAAATAAAATCCTAAAAGGATTATATAAACAATCGTAGGACACCTAGGGCCTGATTGGTAACAGCTGTAGCTTTACATTTTTTGCTGTAGAAATATGACTGTAGGTTTATTTGCTGTGGCTGTAGATTTTAGTGCTGTAGTATTTTGGCTGTGAAATTTAAAATTTTGGAAAGTTGAAAATTATGTGCTTTAGGAAAAAAGGCTTTCTACAACCAAAAAAATGAATTAAGGAAATATTTTGGCTGTGAGAAAAAAAAGGAAAGCCAAAGATTCTAAAACTTGATTGGATGTATTTCAAATCTTTAGAAATTTTTTTGCTTTGTAAAGACTCTAAAGCACTTGCCAATCAGGCCCCTAGTCTCATCATAATTCATTAACACAACAACTCTCTCCCATCTTTCTCTCATTAAGATTGTTCGAGATCTCCCAAACTTTCTTCTTTGCTTCTAAATTTCACAAACCTTCTTTCTCTTCATAAACAACATCTAATCATGGCTACAACGACGAAGATCTTCGGATTCGTGCTGCTGGTGATAACAACCTTCATGGTTTTCTCGGTTTCCTGTTCTTGGGCAACGGTATACAAAGTTGGAGACTCAGATGGATGGACTACCAAGGACGAAACCTATAACTATTTTTGGGTTGCAGATAAAGAGTTCCACGTAGGAGATTCTTTGGTGTTCGAATACGATCCCCTATTCAACGACGTAACTCAAGTCTCTGGTGCCTTGGAGTACGAATTCTGCGACTATTCTTCTGCTAAAGCTGTCTACAACACTGGACATGATGTCGTAACCCTAACGGAACCAGGTTATATGTACTTCATCAGTTCAAATCGTCAACAATGCGCATCCGGACAGAGGCTTGTCGTTCATGTCGTTCATGACCCGTCACGTCCCATTCCTCCACAACCACCGAGCGAGGTCCTTCCTCTTGGAAATATCTACAAAGTTGGTAACTCTAAGGGGTGGAGTGTTCCCGAAGAGACCGACTTTTATTACAAGTGGGCGGAGCAGAGTCACTTTGATATTGGAGACAAACTACTTTTTGAATACGGCAATGAAGACAACGACGTCTACGAGATCAGCGGAGACCTTGAATTCTTATCCTGCGACCGGATTTCTCCAATATCCGTGCACAAGACAGGACACGATCTCGTCACACTCACCAAACCAGGAGTCCACTACTTCATTAGCTCAAAGGCAGGTCACTGTGAGGCTGGGCTTAAACTACGAGTCGTGGTCGGACCACTCACCAAACCCGTAACTGTCCCCAATGTTCCTGCGAAGCAGATGGAGTTGACACTTATGGACCAGTACAACAGATGGTTAGGCACCTTCAGGCCTCAACCTCATCACTAAGCATTCGCTTTTGTTAACTTTGTTAGAATTTTTGTTTCTAATTTAGTTTTTTTGTACGTAGAGTTGCTTTGATTCAATCAGTATTAATAAAATTTCAGATTCCTTAAAACATTATTGAAGCACAAACTAATAATTAATATCCACAATGACTGAGCCACTGAATTTGTTTTTTTTTTCGATATATATCTAAAGTCTCTTTATCTCTACATGGAACCAAGTGTTTGCCACAATAATGTGAAAGAAACCCATCTTAAGATTCAAGTTACGAGCCTTCAACAAAATTGAAACTATAATTATAATGTTGCATTGAGCAGCTTTACAAAAGAAAACATTAAGAAAAGAGTAACGCAAGACTGAAATAATAAATATTTTGATAATTGTTTTTAGTATTTTTGTTTCGAATGTAGTTTTTCTTTCCTCATCTTTGTAGAGTTGGTTTGATTCAATCATTATTAATTAAATAAAGTTTCAGATTCCTTAAAAAGTCCCTTTATTGCAACATGGAACAAGTTATATACCATCTTAAGATTCAAGTTATATGC